AAAGGCAGAAGCTCGTACTACAACCGGTTCGCCCTCTATTAACACAGTCTTTAAACTTTCCGATCGCACCTCGTATATCCAATACCAACAAAAGGGAAATGAGCCAATATATCTTTAAGTAACAGAAGGATAACATGTTTTAATTAGCATAAAGATAAGCCATATTTAATTATCATAAAGATAATAAAATATATTTTAATTACCACAAAGAAAATAACATAATGTACCTTAAATTAGCTTAAACATGTAAGTAAAGCAAATGAAAATAAAGTTACGAGACTATACGCCATAGAGGCACTTGGGGGAAGAAAGAAATGTAAACAGATACGCGTAACATGTTCGTAAGTGCATTTCTTGAAAATTAACTGCAAGATGCAAAGAACAGTTTCCACACAATTGAGGGACTGGCTTCGATCATGGCCCATTTGAACATTACGTAAAGTAGGGAGAAAAATTAAATTTGCTTGACCGGTTTTACTGTACAGCAAATTTGACTGATGTAGGTCAGGTGATTTAGAAAATTAGATGTGAAAAGAGACGTATTTAAATGGATGGGCAAATAGAATGTAACGAAACCTCAATGGCGAGTCCATTTTATGCAAACAAAGAAGTCGAAGAAAATTAATTACATTAAAAATCCGTTTCTTTTGCAAGATTCATTTAAAAGCTAAAGTATGATGGACGACAGAACGGAGTACACAATAAGGACGAGATAGTGATCATAATTCTCACTTTATTTCTATTTAAATGTCCCAAAAATTGTCCAAAAAAAAGTTGTCGTTTAGAAAGAATACTCCAACGAAAATTAAATAATTCGCAAGGTTGTAAAAGGTCTCATTTCTTTGCATACAGCAAGACACATTACATTGTTGTTAGAAGGTGGTAGTTAATGATAAAACGTATACAAATACAAACGGAATTCTTAACTGGTCCGAGTTGAAATAGGTTACATGAAATCCTAATGAAATCAAATTACACGCTTAGAAAAACACAAAAGAATTTAAGTGGCAAAATATGTATCCTAAATTGTTACGGCACATTCTATCCATGAATTATACTAAAGGAATACGACCTAAGTAAATGGTTACAAAATGTCATGTTGTGTGTGTAGTTCCTTCTAATACAAAAAAATTAACATTTGTATTATAAAAATATGGGGAAAAGGAACCAAAATGAGCAGTAATAAACCGGCACACAAAATACATGATAACACGTCTAAATTTACAGAATAACTGCAGATGAAATTTTATGGTAAATGGAGATAATATATCTGTACTCAGAATTGCTGAAGCTGAAAACTAGCTTCGTACAGCAATCGATGAAGAACTGTATATTAAGTGGTCATGCGTAATGATGTCCGCATCTAATTCATTACAAATAAATAGCGTGTAACGTACGAATCGGAATAAATATACGTGAATGATGTTAGGTCATTGTTTAATATAAATCGATTCAGAAAAAATATATGAAAATGAATCTCTGGTAAATTATTTGCAATGCCTGGAAGGCGCCGAATTCAGGGTACAGATGGCACTGGTGGTAAGAAATTGGTGGCCTATGTCAAATGTCGACAAAAAATAACAGTAATATTGATTCACATTTACTCGAAGACACGAAGTCAAACACACAGACGCACTCTACCGGAGAAATACGGAACCAGAGATATGACGTGCCATCTGTGATGACCTGAGTGAAACGACATCAAAGCTTTCGGTTACCATCGAGGACCAATCAGAAGTCAGTCAGTATTGATTTAGTCTTGGAACAGTGTGCAGTTCCCGAAGGAAAGGTCGCCATTAAACTATGGTTGGAAATAGACGATTTCGGTCCGTCGATATTAACGTAACTGTGTGCTCTAGAAATAGAGTTTTTCGGGATCATTAACAAGACTAATTACCACCGTTCAATCAGATATTAATTGGTGCGACCTACAGTGAATCTGAGTGTAACGATGTCTTCTAAGTGACGTGTGAGAATAGAAACAAGTGTAACACCAACCTAAGATAACATGCAAGAGTATGTGTGATTCGCCATGAAGAATCATAAGACTTCAGTGAAAGGACATTTTCATGCCATAAAAGCCCCAGTAAAGACGTTTGTACCAGTTAGTAACACGTAAATCAGATACAGATATAGCTTATCTGCAGAAGCTGGACATGTGTAATTTGATTACATTTATTCTTTATGACGATGAATGGGGTCTCTGTAGTATTTAAATGTAGTGTGAAATAAAATTGAATATATATTTTACTTAATTCTTCTTCATGTGACAACATATATAATTCTACAATGAAAAATTGAATAAAATAATGTTTAAGTGATGACTGATTGGTGGCATTGCAAATACTGAAAGTAAGTATCCAACATAAAATCATTGTAAAAAAATAAAATTAGCTATGAAAGTGATGCCCAGATTACATAATTCTCTAAAAAGTGACGAAATCGAATATTTGAGTGTTTATTATTTTATAATTGACTATAACGAGCACAAGGTGCCCTCACATGCGCACGTCATACGACTGCACTGCGCAACACCATCTGCGCAGATGCCCCACTAACCTAACCTAACCTAACCCAAACCAACCAATTTTGGAAAAAGCGAATGGATGCTCAGAAATTATTGAAGTTTTGTATGGACGTCATGCCACAGATAAGTTAGTGATATTCAAACTCTATTTTGCTATAACGCTATTTATAAATTCGCACAAAGGCTTCAAAGTCGTGAGGTGGAGGATGCGCAAAATCGGCCACGACCACTTAACAATAACGATATCACGCGCATAAACAATCCCCATATAACACAAATAGTGCATATATGCGTGAAATACATCATAACACGTCTAATTTTAACATAATGTTTCCAGAAGAATTGTTTGTGACAAAATTTATGTAGTGTAGATGTTGACTCAGGTACGTTGCAGATTCATGCGTAACGATGACCCAATCTAACTCACTATAAATAAATAGCGTGTAACGTACGAATTATTCTCTAAAAAGTGACGAAATCGAATATTTGAGTGTTTATTATTTTACAATACACTATAAAGAGCACAAGGTGCCCTCACCTGCGCACGTCATATGACTGCTCTGCGCAACACCATCTGCGCAGGTGCCCCAGTAACCTAACCTAACCCAAACCAACCAAAACGGGGTATTCTGCATCAGTGGAAAATGGCTTCCTGCGCATGAATTTTGGAAAAAGCGAATGGATGCTCAGAAATTATTGAAATTTTGTATGGACGTCATGCCACAGATAAGTTAGTGATATTCAAACTCTATTTTGCTATAACGCTATTTATAAATTCGCACG